GAGACGACCTTCTGACGCCATGCTGAGCTTTGTGAAGGTCCCTGCTGTCTGTCACACCCTTGTGTCTTTCGCATCTCGCATCTGTATGCTTGCATTTCTACCATTGTCTGTCTGTTCGCACCTCCATGCCCTGTGTCTGATTGCCTCACCACAGGGGCATGGCGCCTGCGCTTTCCTATGCGCCTCCTTCACCGGTGGCCCCCTCCCATCGGTTGTGGGCGTGACTGTCTTTCATGTGTGTCTATGTAAACAGGAAGTTGAGCTCTGCGCCCCAGAGCTGGGTATGCTGCCTGCTGGATATGCTAGCTCTCCGCACGTGCGTTACAATAAACTTACGCTCCTGATTTAAGACAAATACTTTTGGGCTTTCTCCTTGTTTTGGGGTATGTAATTCTATAACACACTCCACACAGAGATGCGAGCGGGGTCGCCAGTACACACAGTCCTATTGTACATATTTTTAGTGGTAGGGGAAACCGGAGTACCCGGAGGAAACCTACGCAGACACGGGGAGAACATGCAAACTCCACTCAGAAAGGCCCTGGTCCGACCGGGATTCGAACCCAGGACCTTCTTGCTGAGAGGCGAGAGTGCTATCCACTCAGCCACCGTGCCGCCTGATTCAATACGTGACATACAGTGTTTCAAGCATTGATTGATTGCATTTTTTCCCTTTCTGAAAGTCCTGACAAACATGATCATTTATTTCCTTGACATTTGGTTTGCATTGTACGGTTTTGTAACTAGTATGTAAATATTTGATAATAAACCACACAGAGGGGATGATGGGGGAGGTCCACATGTCCAGACTGAAGACAAAATCCTAAATCAAAATTGGATGTGATATAAAACCACAAACAGCATCATAGTTCACTAAAATGGATGCAATTTTCCCAATAGATGTATGATTTAGGAGAATTCAGGAGTTTGTATTCAATTTTGACGACATTAACAATATTTTAACCTACACAAATGAACTCTATAAAAGCCGTCAAAGAGCCTCATAGCTGGGTGTTGTGGCCATGGAGGAGAGTTGGTCAAACCGCACTAATGAGACTTTAAATGGCGAACACTCCGGTGCGGCTTCAAAGCGTGAGTTTGCATTTGCTCTGAGGATTGGTCTTAATTAAAGTGATTTCTTTTTTACGCGTCGGGTTCACGTTATCTGCGCTCCGACACACCTAGAGCACGCTCCGCTGAAGCCCATCATCACAGTGCCGCCTCCTCAGCTCCTAATGAACCGCGGGCTTTGTGTCTGTCACAGAGAGAGTGGGCGGGATGCGCACCTCTGCCGCCGTGCGATACAACGTCTACTTTTGATTTACTTGATTTCAATTGTTTTCAGTTCATCGGTTTAATAGTTATAAGCAGTGTTCCCCAACCTCTTTAAGCATTGAAAGAAATCATGCGGCACACCACCAGCTAAAAATGACGGAAAAATTCTACTTGACATACACTTAATTAACAATGCATTGTCATTATCGTCAAATTTTATTGAATAACTTCAACATGCACATAGAAAAAAACGTATTTGCCATCTTCTGACATTATTTTCTTCCAATGGTTTTCCTTTGTTTTACCATTTAGCTATATATTTCAAAAGGCATACCAGACAAAATCTCAAGGCAGCCCCTCTGTCTGTCGACCCTGTCCATTGAAGATTCGGAAGACGTATATATCTTTGGCATTTTGGTGGTGGGGATCCTCCTGTTTGGGTTTGGAGCGGTTCTCTTCTATCGCAAATTCGGAGGCATGGCAGTTCGCAAGATTCACGACCTGCTGGCCAACAAAATTGATGGGATGTACAAGGAGCTTAGCCGAGTCGTGGTTGAGAGTGCCGTGTCTGGACAAAGGAGAGTGGTGTTGGTGGAACAGTTGATAAAAGACCTCGCAGCTCGTTCACTCGAAGGGAATAAAACATTGGAGTTGAGATTGAATGACATTGTGTGTCAGGCTTGAACTCCCTGACCCGGCTTGGATTTGCCCCTGTGTACGGAGGTCTGAGGGCGCCGCAATTCGGATTAATTGGATTTAATAGAATATCTGCCTGCTTTTGACTGCTACATTGCATACAATATTGTCCCCCTCAGGCGATGTGTTTTTCTCCTGCTGTGTCTTCTCTCCACTCTTATCTCACATTCCTCGGCCAAGGCCATAATAACAAGGTCCCACAATCTACAACAATCTTCAGTCTCCAGCAAGGATCCCGTTCCCCCGCCTCCCTCTACCTATCCATCGCTCCCTCCCTCCCCTCCACTCCTCATTGTGTTTCCGACTCACCCCCTCCCTGACCCCGCCCCCCTCTGACAGCCACATTGGGCCGGCAGTCGGAGGTGCTCATCCCGAGAAAAAAACCCGTGGTTTATACAAAGCACAATGTGTCTATCCAACTGTCTGTGAAACTGTATGTTATTGCTCTCTGCTGTTTATTCTACTGTTTGTCGCATGGCGCCGTAAAGATGGCGCTGTGGCAAGAGCTCTGGTGTGTGTCGTCTTCTCTGTCTGGTGCACACCGGGGTAGTCTTGCACAGTTTTTCCTATGTGGTTTTACTGCAAATGGCAAATAAATGAATCTGAATCTGAAGGCACACTTCTGGCCATGGCACACTGGTTACAAGAAGACATAGTGGCACATACAATGAGTTTTAAAAGAGTTAGTGGGCGAAATGCACGATATATAAGTTTACTTTAACACAGAGGAGATGTAAAGACAAGCTAAAAATAAGTATAGGAGACCAAACTGAACCAATTCAAAGCCCATATGAGACCTGGGAGGACGACAAATGTTGGTCAGACTCGCCTCAGTCTTGGCACCGTTCTGCTGGGAAGACATTTATATCCATAGACTTTTTTCAATTATGTGTTTTAGATCACAATTCTAGTAAATAATCGCATGTAACTGAGACCGGGCTGACACTGTGCAGTTTCATGTAGTTTTAGTCGTGCAAAATTATCCTCAAACTCACACTGTACGGAGCGACAGACGCACAACTTCAGCTACTCACACTGTAGAGACCATCCACTTCTGTGTATGAGCCGAAGCAATGTGTGTGTGAGTGTGTGTGTTTGTGTCTGTGTAAGTGTCTATGTGTGTGTCTGTGAGTTTTCGTATGTGTGTGTGTGTGTCTGTGTGTCTGTCTCTTCTGTGTGTGTGTTTGTGTGTGTGTGTGGGTCTCTGTGTGGGTGTGTCTCTTTGTGTGTGTGTGTGTGTGTGTGTGCACGCGTGTGTGGGTCTCTGTGTGGGTGTGTGCACTGCTCTGGCCACAGAATTGTGTAGAGTTGGGCACCTTCCAAGTCAATCATTTAAAAGTATTAGCAAACTGTTAATGTCCGTCTTGCCTGAACATGACCTTTATTCAAAGTCAGAGGACAGAGGAGAGCTTTAGAGGCTTGTGTTCCGCAGTAAATAGTCCAAGTGACCAGCTTCAGCTCCTCAGTGCTGTGTTTACAGTCCTCTGCAGATGTACTTCACACAGCTTTTCATTCAAATATGTTTGATTTCTCCACAATCAGCAGTTGTGCTGCTGCAGTGATAATTGCAGCTCATATAACCACCACACACTGCAGACACATTTTGGCACGAACTCAGAATTGTACAGTGCATAAGGCACAGAATGGACACATAATAAACAACTGTGTCTTGTTATTGAAACATTAGAATGGAAGTGTTTCATTAAAGTGGCTGATGTTTGTGATCGCACACAGCGTGGAACTAACATGGACACGCACTTTCATGTTCATGCCCCTCTGTGCTGATGAGATGTGCAAGCACAGGTGTGATGACATGTTTGTGTGTGTGTGTGTGTGTGTGTGTGAGTGTATGCATACATGAAGAGACTTGATGAGGAGGATGTCAAACACATGTCTGTATACAGCCTGTGGCTCGATGGCCACTTGAGAAGGAAAACTAATGACAGACAGATCCTGTGATAGATGCTTCAAAGGAGCATACAGTACATAGTAAATGGTTTATTTTATGCAACTTAAACCAAAAAGAGACGTGTCACTGAAGCTCTCACGTTTGCGTGGCGGTCCACACTGTGCCACTTCCAACCAAATCTCAACCCTGAATTGATAATAAACCACAGACAAAATTCAAGTCTACCTTTTGTATATAAACTCAGAGACAACTAGCTCAAAGCAATTTCCTAGTTTGTGACTTCCTGTTACTCACATGGCATTAAAATGATTCTGATTCATCATAGCCCTGAAACAGCACTAGTTAATGCTGGACTTACTCACCTTGTGACTTGAAAACTGCTGTTAAGTAAAGCTGGACAACCCCACATGAATGAAGGCTCCTGATTGGGCAATCCATTCATGGCTCATATCTGGATTTATAAAGACAATATCACAGTTCATGATACGGCTCCTCACAGTAGCAGTAGAACGCTCCATTGATTTGAATGTAATTTCAATGTGTTCTACCAGTCATTATATATTGATAACGGACCTCTGAAACCAATAATGGCCGCTGCCCATGGCAATGCAATTTTCCTTGTAATTCAGGTGTGTAAAGATTACTGCAAGTAGTCCGACCACTTCGGACTTTCTGCAACACGACATCACTACTTCCGTCTCTGCAAGAGAAGCAGTCGGAGCTAGCCACGCATGCTCTGCTCAGTAAACACAAATAACAATCAATAAACACATTTGAATGTTAATTGGGGAATACATTATACCGGTTCACCCTGTCAGTACTTATTTTCTGATAATGATAATGATAATGCATTCTATACATTATCCCTTACCGAAACACCAGTTTCAAACAGTGTGCAAAACCACAGATTTTCTAAGCCCAAAATGGTAAATGTGGCACAAATGGTTTCTGAGCCAAGTCAATAGGAGCCAGATAGAGTCAGAGCAAAACTACATGTATGAGAACTTTCCTATTGGGCCTCATTGAGCTAGGGCGTTAGCATTGCTCATGTCTAGTATGTGGTTCTGACTATGGTGAACACAGCTGAGACATGTGAGCTGAGTGGATGGGCCGCTCTGACCTGGAGGTAGGGCTGGATAGCTTTAAGACAGGCCTCATGGATGTTCTCCTTGTTGAAGTTGATGAGGGAGTCCAGGAAAGCGTCCACTTTGGCCATCATGACCTTGCTGGCCTTCCAGCTGCGGTCTTTGGGAACTTTGCCATTGGGGGCAGTCAGGACCATCACAGCGGCTGTGACGTTAGTGACCGCTGACACCGGAGAGCCGAAAGTCTGCATCTCCCCGATGATTCCCTCGTAGTCGACCCACCCTCAGACTGCTCCGGGGGCTCTCTCCGCAAGCTCAGGCCCGCCTTCTCTGCCCTCGGATTCCTTCACTCCGGAAAGACCACAGGCCCCGCCACCGCTCTGGAGTTTTTCGGCATCCGCTTCGACACACGCGCCATGGAGGCCTCCCTCCCGCTGGACAAGCTCGAACGCATCCGCGCTTCTCCCGGTCTGCCTTGTCCTTCCCGTCACTTTCGAGGCGTCCTTGCTCTCCCTCCTCGGGCATCTTAATTATGCCATCCGTATCATTCCCCAAGGTCGTTCTTTTATTTCCAGACTCCTCTCCCTCGCCGGCTCCGTCTCCTCCCTCAATGACGCCGTCTGCCCGGACGCGGGGTGCCGCTCCGACCTGGCGTTCCGGTCCCGTCTGCTGAGCCGCTGGGATGGTGTATCTTTTTTTTACAGTGACGTCATCCTGTCTCAGATGCCCCGCGGTTCTTCACGGACGCAGCCCCGTCCGTGGGTTTTGGGGGTTTTTCCAGGACCAGTGGTTCGCCGGGCCCCGGCCCGACGCTTTCCCTTGAAGCATCTCCTCCGCGCTCCACGAGATATATCCCGTGACCGTAGCCTGCGTGCTGCGGAACCATACGTGGCATAGGAAAAGGATTTCCGTGACGTGCGACAACCTCGACGTCGTTGAAATAATTAACAGAGGTCGTTCATCCTCTCCCCAAATCATGTCTTCCTTAGACGCATCACATGGCTCTCAGTCCTGAACAATTTATCATCACTGCTCGTCACGTCCCTCGTCACCTTAACTGTCTTGCTGACTCTCTCTCTCGCTTTAAATTCCAGGAGTTCTGACGCCTTTGCCCTTCTGCCAATTCATCGCCATGCCAGATCCCCTGCATGGAATCCCTCGCCCTGGTCTAGTCCCTCCGTCTCTTCACCTTCTCTCCTCCGCTGCATCCTATATGAAAATGGGCTTCTTACGCATAAGCAAATTCACAAACTCTCACGCCACCTTTAATGCATCCCGAGACATTGCCTTCTCTGACCTGTCATATTATCCCGACTACTTCAACCTCCACCTCAAGCATTCCAAACGCAAAGGCGCTTGCAACATAGTCATAGCTCGTTCTGACACTTCTCCCTGTCCCTACAGATCCATGATGCATTACACTCGCCTCCGCTCTCGGAAAGGAGATCTCAACGGACCGCTTCCTCACTCCCGATAACCTCCCCATGACATCCAACTGGTTCAGAGCCCAACTCAAGTCTGTACTGCTGCTTGTAACTTGTCCCCTCATCTCTACACAGCTCACTCTTTTCGGATAGGCGCTGCCACGCTTTGATGGCCAATCAAAAGTTACTGAGTTTGAGGAGTAGGAGGATATTTGGTTACAAGAAGACATAGTGGCACATACATTGAGTTTTAAAAGAGTTAGTGGACGAAATGCACCGTATATATGTACTTTAACACAGAGGAGATGTAAAGACAAGCTAAAAATAAGTATAGGAGACCAAACTGAACCAATTCAAAGCCCATATGAGACCTGGGAGGACGCCAAATGTTGGTCAGACTCACCTCAGTCTTGGCACAGTTCTGCTGGGAAGACATTTATATCCATAGACTTTTTTCAATTATGTGTTTTAGATCACAATTCTAGTAAATAATCGCATGTAACTGAGACCGGGCTGACACTGTGCAGATTCATGTAGTTTTAGTCGTGCAAAATTATCCTCAAACTCACACTGTACGGAGCGACAGACGCACAACTTCAGCTACTCACACTGTAGAGACCATCCACTTCTGTGTATGAGCCGAAGCAATGTGTGTGTGAGTGTGTGTGTTTGTGTCTGTGTAAGTGTCTATGTGTGTGTCTGTGAGTTTTCGTATGTGTGTGTGTGTGTTGTGTGTGTGTGTGTGGGAGTGTATGTGTGTGTGGGTCTCTGTGTGGGTGTGTCTCTTTGTGTGTGTGTGTGTGTGTGTGTGCGCGCGCGTGTGTGTGGGTCTCTGTGTGGGTGTGTGTGTGTGTGCACTGCTCTGGCCACAGAATTGTGTAGAGTTGGGCACCTTCCAAGTCAATCATTTAAAAGTATTAGCAAACTGTTAATGTCCGTCTTGCCTGAACATGACCTTTATTCAAAGTCAGAGGACAGAGGAGAGCTTTAGAGGCTTGTGTTCCGCAGTAAATAGTCCAAGTGACCAGCTTCAGCTCCTCAGTGCTGTGTTTACAGTCCTCTGCAGCTGTACTTCACACAGCTTTTCATTCAAATATGTTTGATTTCTCCACAATCAGCAGTTGAGATGCTGCAGTGATAATTGCAGCTCATATAACCACCACACTGCAGACACATTTTGGCACGAACTCAGAATTGTACCGTGCATAAGGCACAGAATGGACACATAATAAACAACTGTGTCTTGTTATTGAAACATTAGAATGGAAGTGTTTCATTAAAGTGGCTGATGTTTGTGATCGCACACAGCGTGGAACTAACATGGACACGCACTTTCATGTTCATGCCCCTCTGTGCTGATGAGATGTGCAAGCACAGGTGTGATGACATGTTTGTGTGTGTGTGTGTGTGTGTGAGTGTATGCATACATGAAGAGACTTGATGAGGAGGATGTCAAACACATGTCTGTATACAGCCTGTGGCTCGATGGCCACTTGAGAAGGAAAACTAATGACAGACAGATCCTGTGATAGATGCTTCAAAGGAGCATACAGTACATAGTAAATGGTTTATTTTATGCAACTTAAACCAAAAAGAGACGTGTCACTGAAGCTCTCACGTTTGCGTGGCGGTCCACACTGTGCCACTTCCAACCAAATCTCAACCCTGAATTGATAATAAACCACAGACAAAATTCAAGTCTACCTTTTATATATAAACTCAGAGACAACTAGCTCAAAGCAATTTCCTAGTTTGTGACTTCCTGTTACTCACATGGCATTAAAATGATTCTGATTCATCATAGCCCTGAAACAGCACTAGTTAATGCTGGACTTACTTACTTTGTGACTTCAAAACTGCTGTTAAGTAAAGCTGGACAACCCCACATGAATGAAGGCTCCTGATTGGGCAATCCATTCATGGCTCATATCTGGATTTATAAAGACAATATCACAGTTCATGATATGGCTCCTCACAGTAGCAGTAGAACGCTCCATTGATTTGAATGTAATTTCAATGTGTTCTACCAGTCATTATATATTGATAACGGACCTCTGAAACCAATAATGGCCGCTGCCCATGGCAATGCAATTTTCCTTGTAATTCAGGTGTGTAAAGATTACTGCAAGTAGTCCGACCACTTCGGACTTTCTGCAACACGACATCACTACTTCCGTCTCTGCAAGAGAAGCAGTCGGAGCTAGCCACGCATGCTCTGCTCAGTAAACACAAATAACAATCAATAAACACATTTGAATGTTAATTGGGGAATACATTATACCGGTTCACCCTGTTAGTACTTATATTCTGATAATGATAATGCATTCTATAAATTATCCCTTACCGAGCAAACCAGTTTCAAACAGTGTGCAAAACCACAGATTTTCTAAGCCCAAAATGGTAAATGTGGCACAAATGGTTTCTGAGCCAAGTCAATAGGAGCCAGATAGAGTCAGAGCAAAACTACATGTATGAGAACTTTCCTATTGGGCCTCATTGAGCTAGGGCGTTAGCATTGCTCATGTCTAGTATGTGGTTCTGACTATGGTGAACACAGCTGAGACATGTGAGCTGAGTGGATGGGCCGCTCTGACCTGGAGGTAGGGCTGGATAGCTTTAAGACAGGCCTCATGGATGTTCTCCTTGTTGAAGTTGATGAGGGAGTCCAGGAAAGCGTCCACTTTGGCCATCATGACCTTGCTGGCCTTCCAGCTGCGGTCTTTGGGAACTTTGCCATTGGGGGCAGTCAGGACCATCACAGCGGCTGTGACGTTAGTGACCGCTGACACCGGAGAGCCGAAAGACTTCAGCTCAGTCAGATTGCTCTAAAAACACAGGAAAATGACAGTAGGTCAAGAAGAAAAAAGAAAACAATCACATAACAAAATAAAACAACATCATCAAAATAGATTTACAATATGAAACAAGGAGCTTTCAGTTTAATTTACTCAGTCCCCTCCTCATGGAACGCATAGAAAAGAAAACATAGGAGAAAACATGTACAATACATGTTCCATCACAGGTCACACATCTGTACTGGACTGAGGTATATAAGAGTCCTTAAACCTGTTGCTTTTACACCGAGGAATCCTGTACTACCTCCCAGACTCATCAGTATTGTTGTAAAACTAAAGAGAAAATCCCTATATCATGGCCAAAAACTGTCAAAAGCTGATCTCCCAACAATCCATTCATTATACATATTATAAAATGTCTAGTCTTTCTTTGACAAGCAAACATATACTTTGCTTTAATTTGCATGATCTCGTTGAAATATTGAATGTTTTGGGGGGAGATGACTCCGACTGGACGGCTGTGTAAACTTCTTTCCACGTGAAGCCGTCAGTTGAGTGCAGTGATTGTAATTGAGTTTGAAGTCGTGCCGGAGGGGAAGCGCCACAGACAAACAGATTAGACACGGAAGCAGACAGAAAGTACGTCCCGGCGCTAATGAAGTCGTTTGTTCTGCTTGTGTGAACGCGAGCTCTGCACCTTTAAACCGCTGGGACTCAGGAAAATCCCCCAACTCCTCCTAAACCCACAGGCCTGCTCTCCTCTGCTCCCGACACAAAGCAGACATTATTACAGTGAAGACGCGCCTTAATCCAGCTGTTCAGAGCAGAGTTATACAAGCGGGAGCTGCAGATAGTACAGAAGTCTGGATTACACCAGTCTGCCTTTTCACAATAGATTTCTCTTTGTGACTAATGAAAGCCTAATACATTTTGTGTTTGTGTGGTATACTGTACTTAGAATGTATCAGACCGGAACAAAATGTATCCAGGCGCGCAATATTGGTAATTATACGAATTATAGCTACATTTAAAACATAGAAGATAAATGTCTTCATTCTCCAACATTTTGAGATTCTGGAGGAAAGAGAGTGATGCCTTCAGCACCGAGCAACTTGTGTGTGAAAGGTGTAGGGTCATCAGAGAGTGTGTGTGTCTTCTTCCCTATTTAAATATTTTGACAATCTTGTTTCAAATTGTCTTGTCTCATCAGTTCCTCAAAGAACACCTGACCACTTTAACCTGCATTTTTAGATAGTGTACTCACCCCTCTTGTTTTTCTTGTCTCTATGGTTTAGGGGGATTTGCAGGTTTAAAAGCACTGTCTTATAAACAAGGAAAGATGAATGTGCTCATTATTCCTACTTATCTGTAACTTGTGATGGAAAATAGAACATTTCCCCACCGTGGAGATAACAAAGAATTAAGAATCTTTAGTTTATTTTTTGTTCAGCCTGTTGTGGAAACAAGAGACTTTGTTTTAAATTAAAGATCTTGAATAATGTTAAAATCAGGGTTTGACAAAGTCCCAGGGTCAGGACTAGACAAGGAAAGGCAGTATTTCAGATTTATGCAGCTAAAATCTTAAACAGTCTTCCTGAAAATGTGAGACAAGCTTCTACTCTACAGTGTTCAAATCCAGGTTCTGTTCGTCTGTACTTGCAACTGAAGGATTTTATCTTTACTCTTTTTAATGGACTGTAGTTATTTATTAATTGTATCATTTTGTGGTTTTAATGTGTTTGATTACATGTGTGATTTTAATGTCAATGTTTTATGGGGATTTTAACGTTTGTGATTTATGTGATGATTTGTGCCTGATGTGAAATGGGCTATGAAGCATTTTGTGTAACCCTGAAGGGAAAGTGCTCTACTAATAAAGGTTGATTGATTGATAAACAGTTTACAAGAACTCAATTTTCCCAGAGAAATCTCAAGAACTAATTTGGGTACAATGCTTTTATTTTCAAAAGCAGAAAAAAGTTCCACAAGGATTTGCCATTGCATACATTTAGTTTTTCCCATCATTCGTTGGTTTTTAGGCGTTACTTTTGTGGAGTGCAAAGCTGGTCTATAAAGCAAAGTGTCTAATTAAAGGATGTGCATTGTTCTAAAAGCGCCCCCTGGAGGCTGATAGCCTTCTGTGCAGGATGCTTAAAAGAGAGAGAGAGGTGAGGACAGTTACAGTACTGCTGCCTGTTATAAAAGGCCACCGTTTACTGCTGTAAACAAATACTAAACCCTCTAACTGGATTTCACTGAAAGAGAACCCAGGGGCCTTCAAACATTTATAGACTTATTTCCACTCCAAGATTTAGAAACGATGTGTTGATGTTTAGCATAAATACAGATCAAGATCAAGATCAAGACACGCACACAACATAGAATAGTTTTGTGTGTCTTTATGACCACGTTACCGCGGCGCCGTTCACAGTGTTGTTGTTAGCGGCTCACAGCCAGCTAACAACAACCAGAGCGGCCGCGGAGGATGCGGACTTCAGTTCATATACAGCTGTGTATGGAGTGAAAGAATAATGACATGTGAAGTGTCTTTAAGTGTCCTGAAAAGAACTAAATAAAACCAATTATTATTATTATTTAGGTCTGCTTTGCTGACAATATTGCAAATCGTTAGAGCGCAAAATATGGAAAAATTCCATATTAATATGGAAAATTAAGAGTAGAGCAAAGCACTGCATTGATGAAATCAGACATCCACCCTGTGCACGTCACCTCACTCTACAGAAGGTATGGGTGTCAGTGGATCATAGTGGCAGGTGTAAGGGGAAGTCAGACCTTGTTCAGGGTGTTGAGAGCCTCCTGAGCCGCTAACAGGGCCGGCTCTGCTTTGGTCAGGTCCTCCTCACAGTCCCTCTGCTTCCCACTGACCACCACTGCGATGGCCGCCACCTTCTGCTCCTCTGCATCAGCCACAGCCTTCTCCTTGGACACCTTCTCAGTCTCCACGCCCACCTCCTGCACACACCGACAGTTACTTTTGGTCAGTGTATCTCAATGTGCTACAGTTAAAGTATATAGTGAGTAAATATGTCCTTGTTATTGAGGCTTTAACTACTGCTGAGAACTTCATGGCTCAGCAGTCATGTTGTAAAGTGAATATATGTATTTGTCATTTAACTATTTCAACACTTTTATTTCAGGTCTTAACTAAATCCGGGGCGTTTAGCTCTTTCCAATTGCTGCACCCTGTGTCCTGACACAGACAAGAGAAATATCTCACATTTTATATAATCTAGCACCTCTTACGTCAGTGAGCTGCTTGAGATCTTCAGACTGAACCTTCTCGCCGTTCCTCCAGTGAAGATGCTTTCTCCCATTATGCTCCCTATAAATGGAATGCTCTGCCTGCTCTGTGCTCACTTGTCTAAACTGTCCTTCCTTTAGAATGCACTCTTCTCTCTTCAAAGTCTGAATTATTTTTGTCACTCTGTGTTTGTAGTAACATTCCTTCCCTCCTTCTTATAAATATGGTACGTTTAAAGAGAGGGGAAACCAACTGGAATGTTTCTATCTACTATTATCAAATTGAAAGATATGGTTGGGTTTGACGTTTTCAAAAGTGAAGAAAAATAAAGTTTCTATTTTTTGTGTGTATTTGACCTCGTAGTTCTCCAACAGCAGTAAGTGTGGTCAGCATGGGCTTTTACTTTTTAACAAGGTCGTGTCCACAGTTCTCCAGGATCAAATGGTTTGTAGGTTTCCTGGTGCGGGGGTCTCACAGCAGAGAAAACCTTCCAAACAATTGATCTTATAGCATCCATTAGACCACTGTGATGGGTCTCATGGATGCTATAGCGAAAGAAAAACCATGCACCGTGCCACACATGCACGCACACAGACACACACACACACACACACAGACACACACGCACACACACAGAATAAATACATAAATAAATAATGTCTCTTCCATTCATTGACATGTTGAAAAGGCAAACCTCTGGGTAACATCTGACACCAGAAAGTCCAGAGAAATGGGCGTGAATAGGTGGTAGGTTGAAGAGGCGTTTGCTCAGACTGAAGTCTTGAATGCACATAATAAGTTAAAAGGAACATGGCATGGCATGGTTCATTGCTTTACAAGCCTGGTAATACATGTGGGCAGACTATACCACAGAAATGGATCTGAAAGCACAGCTCAGATGAATCTTATCGACGGTGACAGTGAGAGCTGCTGTGTGTGGAGGAAGAGGGTTGGGGAAGACACTCGCCTGGATCAGTGTGTCTGCTGCGTCATTCTTCTGCTTCAGTTCCACTTCCTGAGCAGCCAACTTGGCCTTGAGGTCATCCACCTATCGGAGACAAGACAGGAGTCAGGAGGGCAGTCAGCTGATTGGCTGCTTCTGTGGAGGCGAGCAGCGGAACATATGAGAAGCTTCTGTATGTGCCATGGAGAGTAGACAGACTGAGGCCTGGGCTGTGAGTGCGGAGCAGAGAACAGTCTTAAACACAAACTTCCTGGAGCTTCTATATCCCACACTGTGAAAATGTGGTCGTTCCGTTAAATGGCCTAATGTGGTAAATTTGTTCAAAGCAGCTTTTCTTATAGCAATACTCAACACATTCTTGGAGCTCAATGAAGATATTTCAAATGAACAAAGTATATTATAATCAGCCTGTAAATTAAGGTGACATACAGTAGATTATTCCATTAAAGGTTGTTGTCTCGTTTTTTCCCGGGGTTACGTTTTCAGAATAACCAGATAGAGAGAGACCAGAGAGAGATACCAGAGAGAGAGAGACCAGAGAGAGATACCAGAGAGAGAGACCAGAGAGAGATACCAGAGAGAGACCAGAGAGAGGGACCAGAGAGAGGGACCAGAGAGAGGGACCAGAGAGAGGGACCAGAGAGAGAGACCAGAGAGAGATACCAGAGAGAGAGAGACCAGAGAGAGATACCAGAGAGAGAGAGACCAGAGAGAGATACCAGAGAGAGAGACCAGAGAGAGATACCAGAGAGAGACCAGAGAGAGATACCAGAGAGAGAGACCAGAGAGAGATACCAGAGAGAGACCAGAGAGAGGGACCAGAGAGAGATACCAGAGAGAGACCAGAGAGAGGGACCAGAGAGAGATACCAGAGAGAGACCAGAGAGAGGGACCAGAGAGAGGGACCAGAGAGAGGAACCAGAGAGAGGGACCAGAGAGAGGGACCAGAGAGAGAGACCAGAGAGAGAGACCAGAGAGAGAGAGACCAGAGAGAGATACCAGAGAGAGAGAGACCAGAGAGAGATACCAGAGAGAGAGACCAGAGAGAGATACCAGAGAGAGACCAGAGAGAGATACCAGAGAGAGAGACCAGAGAGAGATACCAGAGAGAGGGACCAGAGAGAGACCAGAGAGTGACCATGGAGAGACCTAAGAGCGACCAGAGAGCGACCAGAGAGTGTGACCAGAGAGCGACCAGAGAGCGACCAGAGAGCGACCAGAGAGTGTGACCAGAGAGCGACCAGAGAGCGACCAGAGAGCGACCAGAGAGCGACCATAGAGCGACCAGAGAGCGACCAGAGAGAGACCAGAGAGTGACCATGGAGAGACCTAAGAGCGACCAGAGAGCGACCAGAGAGTGTGACCAGAGAGCGACCAGAGAGCGACCAGAGAGCGACCAGAGAGTGTGACCAGAGAGCGACCAGAGAGCGACCAGAGAGCGACCAGAGAGCGACCATAGAGCGACCAGAGAGAGACCAGAGAGCGACCAGAGAGCGACCCGAGAGCGACCAGAGAGCGACCAGAGAGCGACCAGAGAGCGACCAGAGAGCGACCAGAGAGCGAGACCAGAGAGAGACCAGAGAGCGACCAGAGAGCGAGACCAGAGAGCGAGACCAGAGAGCAAGACCAGAGAGCGACCAGAGAGCGACCAGAGAGCGACCAGAGAGCGACCAAAGAGCGACCAGAGAGAGACCAGAGAGCGACCAGAGAGCGACCAGAGAGCGACCAGAGAGCGACCAGAGAGTGAGACCAGAGAGAGAGACCAGAGATGATGTTTTTTAGTTGTATTCACCAGTTTCATCAGTGAGAGAGAGAGACCAGAGAGAGACCAGAGAGACCAGGGAGAGAGAAAGACCAGAGATAGACCAGAGAGACTATGTATTTCAGTTGTATTCACCAGTTTAGAGCATTTATGATAGTTTCTCTTCAAACATCTCGCTTGTAGTAAGGAAAAGACCCATCAGCCACTGCTTTTTGCGTATAATTAGCTATCACAGTACTATGAAGTGAAGCAGAACATTTCAAATCTTCACTTGGACAAAACTAATTCAGCAACAAATGTGTGTTGGCTCTTTTACACTTGAGGTCCTTCCAACCGACCACAATCCTCTGTTTGTGGCTGAACCGTTTCTGTTTCGGGACGACAGGATGCCACTGGCTTAACTCGACTATTGTGGTCTGTTAATGGAGTCTGTTTCTATGACAACGGGGTCAAATGCAGTTTATATTAAAGCTCACAAAGCCTTTTTCTGCAGCCGGTGGTTTTATCAGAGCGAGTGTGTGAGTGGGTGTGTTCTTGTGTGTGTGCGTGTATGTGTGTGTGTGTCCTCTGAGCTCTGGGGCTGGTCTGTTGTTATTATGCAGTGGTGTCTGTGGGGGAACCCTGACCTCAGAAAGGACACTTTGAAAGTCTGATTTTAAAGGGGACGTATGGTCTAGTGCCACTTCTCAAATTCATCGACAATCCTATTGTTCTATCACACAACTTGTCACAAACATAACATGATTCTGACGGCTATTTTGTGACACTATCTGATACCTAATGGTCAAATCTAAATATTGATGTAAAAGGGTCAGGGTTAGGGTTATCAAAGGCCCTGCATAGGCAAGTTAGCAATCCACATTTTTTGTCTCAGCTAGGCTAAACATACTCAGGAATGTATATATATAGTTTTCGATAAATTTTGCCACAAATATGTATTGAATGCTTCCCCATGGTCTACAATCTTCGCTTCATAGTTTTTCTGAATTGTTAGTGCTGCTTCCAGCCCCAGGTCAAGATGTGGAAACTTTTTATCCAATCATTATTCAGCATCACATGTCCAACATCTGCCTTTAGGTCTTCAGGCGCATGCTGGTGCACGGAGCTTGAAGTAAATAAAAATAAACCTTTGGCAGCAACCAATAAAGAGTTAATTTGGCTTCACTGGGACAGTATTGACAGTCAATGGACAGAGCGGCAGGCGGACAGAGTCAGAGCATCCAAGTCTTTTGATTGGATAAATTATATAGAGAGACGACATGTGATGAACAGAAAAAAAACAAAAATTGCTCATTTGTGTAGCGCAAGTTGTTATTGCTTCTTTCAACCCACAACCGCTGAGGGAGGCAAAGATATCGATCTCGTAGATAGAACGGCATTCCCAAAAAAAACATTTCAAGAAAAGCTAGACACCATGAAGGAAGACCGCCTTTTCCTGCTTTACTCAGCAGGAAAAGGATTTATCTGCCACTACCGATGGTCCCTCTGGCTGAGGCTCTGAGAAGCATTATAAACTATCTCCCACAGAATAGTTCTTCTGTATCATCATAGCCAGGAAACTACCACATTATTCATTCACTCGGGAGTTTTTGCTTGTTCTTGGCTCATAAAGCAGTCCCTTTCCTTGAGCATGTTTTCTGAGAGTGTAGAAGACAAAATATATGGGATTTCCAATCAGTAATGAGTGTATGGGTGTTTTGGCCATGGTAGGAGTCAGGGGTGTCCAAACTTTATAGAAAGAGGGCCATTTTAGTTCATCTGACTTAGGGCTGACAACCTGGATTTTAAAAAACTGGATTCTGGAATTTAAAATGGGTAATGATACGTTCTTGTTATAGTCACACCACAGCTGCATTTTATTTGGAATGTTTTGACACAAGCATAAAACAAATGTCAGAAATGAACGAAAGAGTCAACAACTGGATTCCAGAAGGTTCACAACAAGGTAAAGACCAACACTGCTTCTTGTTGTTTAATCCTTACTTATAAACGTCTTTTTATTGGGGCGACATAAGTGATGGATTTCTATTTTAAAATTCCACAAACTGTGTCACAAAACTTTCACTTCGGTGGCATTTATCTACTGCAAATCTTTACCTGGTCTTTGATCACACCGAAAAAAGCCATGGCTGGTGTAAAAATGTCACGTACTTTCACATCTTGATCAGGAGTTCAATTTGCTCGTGCGTGTGTGGGTCTTGTGTTTCCATGGCAACTAGAAAATTTGTGTCAGTAGCAGACGTTAACTCGTGTGTTTACTCAACTAATTACATTTCCAAAAGTTGACATTTTCTGCTCATAGAAATTCATCCCACACAAATGATTCACTTGTTGGATTTGCTCGTATTGAATTTCAACATTGTTTTTTCTACCACAAATAGAACGGGCCGACAAAAGGTACAGCATGTAAGCCGATGGCTGACTTTGATAATGGAATGTGCCTAATGCTGCGTTCATAATGTCCTCAGAAACTCGGGTGGCTGAGTTTGTTGTTGGATGTTCTAACTTGTGCTTTTATCTGGGGATGTTCATAAAATCAAAAATGTTTTACAGCGTTTGGTAAAGCTGTTGGATAAAGTTATGCTCAAGATCACAGATTTGCTCTTTATTTTGCTAAAGTTAGAGATTTCATTATGTTTTATTTGAGTAGTAGTATTTTAGAGTTATTGCTATTTTATCTTGTGCTGTGCTTTTCATTCCTACTGCTCTGTAACTTGTGATGCAACGCTGACATTTCCCCACTGTAGGACGAATAATCACAATTAGGTTTGCAAAATTCTGGTAATGTTAAAAAAATGGAAAATACGCTTTGGATGAATGGGAATTTAAGTGAATAAACAGGAATTTATGTGAATAAACAGAATACTCCACATTGAAGCTCGGCTCTTCATGGAGGACTTAAATATGAAAATATACAAAGAACAATACTAACCATCTGTAAATCTGAAACCTCATGGCTGCAGCGACTGACTACAGTGAATACTCTACATGTGACGTATCATTGACACAAGTGCAATTATAGCTCCAGAGTTCATTATCTTATTATTGTTTTATCTCGGATCTTAAATAATAAATAATGTTTGATGTGTGCATAACTGGAATACTCTTATTTCCCCTTCTACTCTGCTGTAATGTGCAACTATGACATTAATGTGCAACTATGTGCAACTATGACATTTCCCCAGTGAGGAACAAATATAATATAATGTTTATCTTATTGTAATTGTGAACATGTAATCGAATCTTCATTTGTCCGAAGATTCAAATCTATTTATTGTGAAACAAATCTGTCTATATTCTTACAGTAATCACCAGAAGTGTGAAATGTGCTCATTTCTGACCTTTCCAAACTGTAGATAACAAATAGAAGCTACTTTATCAGTGTTATCCTTTTGTATGAGCCTCACCTCCATCACCGCATGTCCAGGGCAGCTTAGAATCTACACTTTCATAACATGCAAAACTCTCAAAGTCCCTTAATAATCTAATAATTTTAGATTCAGCACTGGACAAAACCCAGGGGAATGTCATTAAAGGCGCTATACCCGTTTCTGCAATGTTTGAATGTTTAGCACCGCCCCCCAACTCGCTCAATGGCTTCTCATTTCTCATAACACAGAGCCACCTAGTTTTATTTGCGATCTGATACATATGCTAACATTAGCATTAGCGCAACTTCTTGTAAGCTGTGCAACAATCACTGATGAAATGGCACTAAAGCAACGCACTGCTAATACAATATATAAGTAAAAGAATACCGCTAGTTTCGCGTCCGAATGTATTAATTTAAAACCTTAGAATATATTCTAATATTGAATTATTTGTTATAGAACTACTCAAAGCAGCAGCAGCAATTCTTCCGATCATTTTTCTTGATAACAGAACTCTCAAACCAATAATGACCGAAGCCCAATGCAATCTCTGTTTGTAATTCAGGTGTGTAAAATACTGCCATTACTCTGCAAGTACAAAACGCTATCAGCACCTGTCACTACACACTTGTCTGTGTAGAGAAGCTAGCGGAGCTAGCCACGCTCAATAAACAACTACATATCTATAAATCAACACCATTAAACGTCAATCGGACAATACAGTACACATATACATCCTTAACACACATGCACGGATGATTTCAGAATTTGCTGTTAACGTTTTCATGACAAAAATACTGTTTCAATGTGACAAAAAGCGATTGCGAAAAACCCGGAAGTTACCATGAAACAACTAGCTAGCTAGCTTAGCTGTTACCTGCCTAGCACGTCCCGGTGAAACCTTTGGGAGCTAACTATTTTATTTGCAGTCATTCAATACATTTCGAATTACAAGGGTTGTCTAATATTTGTTCAAATGTTTTTATTCAACAATTTTTTTCATCATTTTTATTTTAGAATTATATTCGAATTTTGAAGTCCAGCGCTGTAGAGGCTAGAGGACGCAGGCCGTTCGCTGCTCGTTCTGTGAGCGGAGGAGAAAGAGCGGCCCGCTCAGACTCTACTCAGCACTTTTCACTGCTTGTAATTCTTACACAGCTGAATCAATTACCTCAAGTTTTCAATTAAATGATGTATTATGATACAACTTGTATGTAGTAAAAAGCATTTTTATGAACTACTTAGAAAAAAAATCGGGTATAGCTTCTTTAAAATGGCAAAGTGGAGTTTCAAACCGATTTTTTTACAAGGACAACTTAGAAAATAAAGAGCAGGGTGTGCAACAGCCCAAACTTTAATGGTAAGACCGTATCTCTTGTTACACAGCCTGTCGTCAGTAATTTATCACTCGACGTTTTGGTTATCTCAAGCTCCAAGCAATGCGGAGGGGAAGTGCTATAGTTTGCATGGGTATAAAACAATGTGAACGTGTACCTACAATAAAACATGTCTTCTGCTGGGGCACAATCCCAGTCCTGCGCATATTTTGTCATCTTCTTCAGAAGCGTGATGGAAAGTATTGTCCTTCGAGTAACTTGTAACTGTAGAACGCGGATGTAACCAGTTATAAAACATTTTACTTTTGTGTTTGCGAAGTGGGAATGTTCTTATGTCGTCAAATAAGAAGTCAAGTCAAATAGAAGTTATTAAGTAGTTTGGGGTGATTATGACTGATACTTTTAGCGTTCTTTCTTTCATGGAGATAGTTCTTTGATTCCTGGGAAACAGGCTAAACATCTCCACGGGGGCAAGCAGAGCAGTTACAAAAAGCATGGTTCTAAAGAGAGCTGGCAGCAGTTGATTGAACAGGTTAGGTGACCTTTAATATACCTCAGTGCACCTGGGAGCCCGTGTGGAGCCTCACAGCCGGAGGGTACAGGCCTTATTGGACTGTGCAGAAGTGCTTTAAGATCTGCTCTTTCAGCTATTGCAGCATATGTCATCACGGACAAGGTCTGAGAGCATGCAATCAAAAGGAAATGTCTCCCCGCTTAAAAATGTGCAAAATCCTCAAAAGGAATCTCAAGATGACGAAAGATCAACTTTTCCACATCGACAAAAACTCTACAGAACTCAAGTGCGATCTTTTGAAGGACAGACGTTTTGTAAAATCAGCTTTTCAGCCTTGATCTGGAGTTGTATAAGCTCCATCCACACTAATATTACAAACTTCTACCACAAATGTCCTTTGTCCTTTCTGTCGCAGAACTAAAGTTTACAAGTCATTTTGAATTGATAAGGCTCATGTTAAGGTACATAGTTTTTGAACAAAACTCTGATTGGACAAGCATATATCGTCAGAATGATTGACAATTGGAAGGACCGATTGTCTTGATAATGTAATAATAATCTTTATTTGTACTTTTAAAAAACAATGTTTACACAGCGCTGCACAGTCAGCATAATAAACAATAAAACAGTTATAACAGAAAGTCAAAATATTTAGACAGAATATAAACAGGAAGACAAAGTAGACAGAGCAAACACAAGAAGAAAGACACAGCAAAGACAAAGCAGACAGTAAACTACAACATGGGAAGTTTAAAACTAAAAGTTAAAAGCTGTTTGATAAGTGGGTTTTAAGAAGTGATTAAAACATGGATACTAATTGTGCTTGCCTTATCTCTTCGGGCAGGTCGTTCCAAAGATGAGGAGCCCGGACAGAAAAAGTGTGGACACCTTTTGTTTACTTCCGGGTGATGAAGTAGAAAAGTCTCCTATAGACCTATACCTCACCTTTCCATGTAAAATAACGCACGTGGCACAGCGGTTAGAGCTTGTGTTTCAGTGTGGAGTTTGCATGTTCTCCCCATGTCTACATAGGTTTCCTCTGGGTGATCCGGTTTCCCCTACCACTAAACACATGCACAATAGGTCTGAATGTACTCTCGCCTCTCAGCAAGAAGGTCCTGGGTTCGAATCCCGGCCGGACCAGGGCCTTTCTGAGTGGAGTTTGCATGTTCTCCCTGTGTCTGCGTAGGTTTCCTCTGGGTCCTCCGGTTTCCCCTACCACTAAAAACATGCACAATAGTTCTGGCATGCGCCTCCTGTTCGGCGACCCCGCTCCCATCTCTGTGTGGAGTGAGTGGACCAATGCCCAAAAATAATAACAATTGTAAACCGCTTTGTGACTCTGGTCTGTGAAAGGCGGTATATAAATAAAGATTACTTACTTACCTACTTACAGTTTATGCGGCGTCTCGCTTCCGTCATCACTGTTGGTGCAGCGGATGGAAAAATATCTGAACTCTGAACACTGTAAATCGCTTTGAGTTATCGCAGTCTGTAAAATGCGCAATACAAAAAAAGATTACATACTTACTTACTATATACCAACCGTGAAAGCCTACTCTGTGAAGAAATAGCCCCGTATCTGCACAGTTCTTTACCCACCTCACCCCGACAGTGAACCAGCCTGGCTCACGGTGCAATAAACAAACACAACATCAGGATAATTGATGATATTTACGTCAAATTTCCATAGCAAAGCGCTCTAGATAAACGCTGGGAGAAACGATGGGCGCGGGAAGCCAAAAAGAAATAACAGCTCATCTGTCAGAGAGCGCGATGCAGCTCCGGAGCCAAGCCCTCGCATTCAGACTGTGAAAATGTCAACGTATTCTGCACAACGCCATAAATATAACGTAATATGAGGGCTAATCAATAATCAGGAGAGGAGGCCATTTGACAATAATC